CGTAAAAAGGAATGACATTTGCAGCAATGTGGATGGAGCTAGAGTTTTTTGTTTTTTGTTTTTTGTTTTCTGTGACATGCAGCATGCAGGATCTTAGCTCAATCTTAGTTCTCTGACCAGGGATCAAACCCATGCCCCCTGCAGTGGAAGTGCAGAGTCTTAGCCACTGGACCACCAGGGAAGTCCCTTTTTTAAAAGATTTTTTAAGTTCAAGTATAGTTGATTTACAGTGTTGTGTTAGTTTCAGTTGTACAGCAAAGTGATTCAGTTATACATATACATTTGTGTATGTGTTTATGTGTAAGTGTGTGTGTGTGTGTGTATACATATTCTTTTTCAGATTTTTTCCATTGTAGCTTATTACAAAAAATCTATTTCTGTTTTGTATATAAGTTCATTTGTATCTTTTTCCTTTTTCTTAAAGATTCCACATGTAAGCGATATCATATGATATTTGTCTTTTTCTGTCTGTCTTCATTTAGTATGATAATCTCTAGGTCCATCCATGTTGCTGCAAATGGCCTTATTTCATCCTTTTCTATGGCTGAGTAATATTCTATTGTGTGTGTGTATATATATATATATATATATATACCACATTGTTATCCATTCCTCTGTCGATGGACATTTAGGTTGCTTCCATGTCTTTGCTATTGCAAATAGTGCTGCAGTGAACATTGGGGTGCATGTATCCTTTTGAATTATAGTTTTCTCTGGATATATGCCCAGGAGCGGGATTGCAGGATCATATGGTAGCTCCATTTTTAGTTTTTTAAGGAACCTCTGTGCTGCTCTCCATAGTGGCTGTACCAATTTACATTCCCACCAACAGTGGAGGAGGGTTCCTTTTTCTCCACACCCGCTCCAGCATTTTTATGTAGACTTTTTCATGATGGCCATTCTGACCCATGTGAGGTGATACCTCATTGTAGTTTTGATTTGCATTTCTCTAATAATTAGCGATGTTGAGTCTTTTCATGTGCATTTTGGCTCTCTGTATGTATTCTTTGGAGAAATGTCTGTTTAGATCTTCTGCCCATTTTTTGATTGGATTGTTTGTTGTTTTTTTAACATTGAGCTGTGTGAGCTGTTTATATATTTTGGAGATTAATCCCATGTCAGTCGTATTGTTTGCAAATATTTTCTCCCATTCTGTGGGTTGTCTTTTTTGTTTTGTTTATGGTTTCCTTTGCTGTACAAAAGCTTTTTAAGTTTAATTAGGTCCCATTTGTTTATTTTTGGTTTTAGTTCCATTACTCTAGGAGATGGATTAAAAAAGATATTACTGTGATTTATGTCAAAGAGTCTTCTGCCTATGTCTTCCTCTAGGATTGTTATACCATCTGGTCTTACATTTAGGTCTCTAATCCATTTGGATTTTGTTTTTGTGTATGGTATTAAAGAATGTTCTAATTTTATTCTTTTACATGTAGCTGTCTGGTTTTCCCAGCACCATTTATTGAAGACACTGTCTTTTCTTCATTGTGTATTCTTGCTTCTTTTGTTGTAGGTTGATTGACCACAGGTGTGTGGGTTTATTTCTGGGCTTTCTCCCCTGTTCCTTTGATCTATATTTCTGTTTTTGTGCCAGTACCATACTGTTTTGATTACTGTAGCTTTGTAGTATGGTGTGAAGTCAGGGAGCTTGATTCTTCCAGGAAGGGGAGAGGGACTAGATAGGGGCATGAGATTAGGAAATATGATCTACTATGTATAAAATAGATAAGCATCAAAGATATATTGTAGGGCTTCCCTGGTGGCGCAGTGGTTGAGAGTCCACCTACCGACGTGGGGGACACGGGTTCGTGCCCCGGTCTGGGAGGATCCCACATGCCGCGGAGTGGCTAGGCCCGTGAGTCATGGCTGCTGAGCCTGTGTGTCCGGAGCCTGTGCTCCTCAGCGGGAGAGGCCACAGTGGTGAGAGACCCGTGTACCGCAAAAAAAAAAAAAAAAAAAAAATAAAACTTTGAAAACAAAGGGAAATTAAACC